GAGAGAAGGTCCTACAGAATGGAGGCAGAGGCTGGAGGGAGGGAGCTATAAGCCCAGGGGCGCAAAGGACTGGCAACAACCAACAGAAGCTAGGAAGAGGCAAGGAAGGATTCTTTTTTTTTTTTTTTAAAGACTTTATTTATTTGACAGTGACACAGCAAGAGAGGGAACACAAGCAGGGGGAGTGGGAGAGGGAGAAGCAGGCTTCCCACGGAGCAGGGAGCCCGATGCGGGGCTCGATCCCAGGACCCTGGGACCATGACCTGAGCTGAAGGCAGATGCTTAACGACTGAGCCACCCAGGCGCCCGGCAAGGAAGTATTCTTCCCTAAAGCCTCCAGACAGCACGGTCCTACTGACACCTCGATCTCAGCCTTTCAGCCTCGGAACTGCAAGAGGATCAATTTCTGCTGTTTGAAGCCACCCAGTTTATGGTACTTTGTTAGGGCAGCCCTAGGAAACTAACATGTGCACCAAGAGGGATGCATCTCTAATGCAACATACTAAGTGAAAGAAGAACTCCAAAGATTACACACCTTTGATTCCCTTTACAGGACACACTGGAATAGGCAGAACTGCAGACCAGTGGTTTCCAGAGGCTGGGGGTGGGGGGTGGAGGCAGATCACTAAGGGACCTGTAGGAACTTCTGGCTGGTGGGTGACAGAACTGTTCTGTATCTTGGCTATGGCGGTGATTATACAACATAGAATTATATGCCTAAGAAAGGTCAGTTGAGGGGCACCTGGGTGGCTCAGTCAGTTAACCATCCGACTCTTGGTTTCAGCTCAGGTCACGGTCTCGGGGTCCTGGGATCGAGCCCTGTGTCAGGCTCCACGCTCCACAGGGAGTCTCTGCTGGAGATTCTCTCTCCCTCCACCCCTCCCCCTGCTCGCACATGCGCGCGCGCTCTCTCTCTCCCCCTCTCTCTCAATAAATAAATAAGTAAATCTTTAAAAAGAAAGGTCGATTGTATTGTAAATTGCACCTGAAAAAAGTTTACTTAAAAAAAAAAAAAAAAAAAAAACTATGTTCCTGGGATTCCCTTTTTTTCTCAGTTTGTCAAGAATCCCAAGAAGAAGGCTCCCACTGGCCTAATCAGAGATAATGTGAGCATCAAAATCAAACTAATAGTTCTGGATTATAACCCACTGAATAAAATAAGAAGCCACAAAATCAGATATACAGAAATAAATAAACGGATGTATGCAAGTTTGAAGAGGATCAGGATGAAGTATCTCCTCACAAAATATTTGTTAACTACAAAGGGGAAGAGAAACTTTAACATGAAGAGGCCTGACAAACACCACCTTAACTGATAAAAGTGAACACCAGTAGTAATAGGACAAAAGAAAATCATCCACTTAAGGGGACACAATAACAGCATCATTTCTCTACTATTCCTGTCAAAGACACAAATCTGACTCAAATCATGAAGAAGCATCAGACAAACCCCAACTGAGGGATATTCTACAAAATACCCGACTGGTGCTCTTCAAAAGTGGCTAAGGTCATAAAAGTCAGAAATAATTTCTTTAATGTCAAAAATAAAAGGCTGAAAAACTGTTCTAGACTGAAGGAGACTAAGGACAATAAATACAGGTGATTCTGAACTGGATCCTTTTGCTGCAGAGGACAGTAATGGGACACATGGTGAAACCACACATGAATGGGACCCGTGGATCAGATGGTAATAACATTCCACTATTAATTTTATGATTTTGATGGCTCTGTTTGGGTTATAAGGGACAATGTCCTTGCTTGTAGGAAAATACACAGTGAAATGTTTGGGGCTGAAAGAGCATTAGGTTAGCAACTTATTTTCTCAAGGAGAAAAAAAAGTTATTTATCCTGAACTTCCAACTTTTCTGTAAGTTTGTGATTGTTTCAAAGCAAAAAAATAAAAATAAAAAATATTCAGGGATGCCTGAGTGGCTCAGTCGGTTAAGCATCTGCATTCGGCTCAGGTCATGATCTCAGGGTCCTGGGATTGAGTTCTGCATCCAGCTCCCTGCTCAGTGGGGAGTCTGCTTCTCCCTCTCTCTCTTCCTCTCCTCCCATTGATGCTCTCTCTCTCTCAAATAAATAAATAAAATCTTAAAAAAAAAATTAAAAAAAAAAACATACTCAAAGAAAGAATCCTGGGAAGGCCAAGGGCTGTTAGTTCATCCCACCTCCCGCTGCAACAGGACAGGGGCAGGATAGTAAGTTCTATCTATATTCCTCTAAAGTTGACTATCAAGTACCACAAAATCAGGATCTCAAACACAGCACACCTTGGCAGTGCTCTGATTTCAGAAGCATGAAATCCAGCATAAAGCAGAGACCTGCTTTATCTGGATACTGAATGATCCAATAGGCCAACGCAGAAGATCATCTGGTCTACCGAGGCAGGCCTCTGATATAGGCAGCAGCATAGTGAGATTCCAACGTCAATGTAGGAAATATAACATCCAGTATAACAGGGTACAAGTGTGTTCACATTGTGCTTTTTCTAATAACCGTTATATTTAAGAGCCCCTGTTAGCACTCTCAAACGGAAGTCTCTATTTTAAATAATACTTTTGCCTTATAGGACCATCATCAAACAAGTACACCCAGCTTTTACAGCAAAGAAAGAAGATAGTGCTTTTAAAATGGACAGGCATCCAAATAAATTAATCTACACCTTGTCTTAAAGTTCCCAACTTCAACACCAAATCTTAAATTGTTTAATTAGAACTATGACAGGCTCCTAATTTTTCAGACTAGGATGTCTACTTCGGATCTTAACAAGAGTATCCTATATCATTGTCTGAAATATTGATTCCACATTATTTTGAACAAAGTTCTTCAATGATATGGGGGCGCCTGGATGGCTCAGTTGGCTAAGCGACTGCCTTCGGCTCAGGTCATGATCCCAGAGTCCTGGGATCGAGTCCCACATCGGGCTCCCTGCTCAGCAGGGAGTCTGCTTCTCCCTCTGACCCTACCCCCTCTTGGGCTCTCTCTCTCACTCTCTCTCTCTCAAATAAATAAATAAAATCTTAAAAAAAAAAAAGTTCTTCAATGATATGAATGATTGAGGCACCGTATGACACTGCACTAATGTAAATGCAAGAGACCACCTATCTGGGCCTTAGATCTGCACTGTCCAATATGGTAGAAACCAACCACATGAAGGTAGTAAAATATGGCTAGTCTCAACGGAGACGTGCTGTATGCGTACAATATGCACTAGATTCCAGACTTAGTCCAAACTTTAAAAAGAATGTGAAATATCTCATTTGTGTTTGTTATACTGATTATATATTGAAATGATAATATTTTGGATTTACCGGGTTAAATAATAATTTATTTAAATAATAATAAAATTAATTGCACCTGTTTCTTTGCCTTTGATGTGGCTACTAGAGAAGTCTGGATTACATATGTGGCTCACGGTATATTTCTCTTGGACAGGGCTGCCTTAGCCAGCCCATGAGATAATGCTACGGCAGGCTACAGAAACTAGGAAAAAGAATGACGGGCTTCCCGGAAGACACTGAACTGTATCTCCGCCCAGTTTATCCTTCAAGATCCAATCTTTCTAAAGACAATCGCTGCCTATCTTATTACACCCGATTCAGACTGGAGGAAGGAAGTATCTGGAGGTACCTGGAACTCCGCCGCGCTGCTCCGCAGCTGGCTCACGTTCGGTAAGGACCCGCCATGGTACTGTGTGAGGCGCAGCTGCTGAAGCTTCTGAAATTGGACCTGGAAACAAAGAGATTTCAAGACGGTTGAGAGATGACAGCAAAGATCTGAGGGAAGCATTGAAGTACGGGTATTTTGTAGCAGAAAGGTTCAAGAGTGAAAGTCTTGGTTTCGGTTTCTTTTCTACCTAAAACCTTCAGGGTTCCAGTGCCTTTTGATTTTTGACTAGTCTATTTTTGGAAAGAATCTACCCATGTTCCAAATGTCCCATGCGCAGTGATAGTGAGGTCTTTGCAAGGTCTTTGTGTGTGTGTAGGCAGGCCCAACCTCTAACAGCAATAAAAGAGTCTCTTAAAGGAAAACTAAGCCATTCTCCAGGCCTCTAACACATTAACCGTTCTCCCTTCTCCTGTCCAGTCTCCGCTTACACGCGTATGTAATACCAGCATGGCAGGAGTCATAACTCAGGTACGATCCCGCGTGCTTACATCTGAACTCTTTCCTAGGATATTCATCATCTTTAATGGCTATATTTCCTAAGAACACATTCCAAAGAGTGATTCCTGAGTCTCTGCGCCTGGGTCTTTCGACGGCTCTCAACACATAATGTCAAAATGCGGTCCCAGCGGGTATATGAAGTATGTATGAGAAAACAGTTTCACAAGAAAGCTCACTAACACTGAATATCATCCTTAATTGGGGCAAAGGAGGAGGCCAACTCAACAGGTATCAAATGGCATCCCACTGCTTTCATATGCCTTTCTTCTGGAAGTTCTTCCTTGCTTCATTTTTCAAAACGCAGTAAACTGGTTACAGTTCTTATAAACCCCAAAGCGGTCCAATTTGGTCTTTAAGAGTTCTGTTTCTAAAACAATAAATTACCTCTATGGTTACATAATCCTTGGCACTTATAATTCACGTGGGGAAGAAAGAGGCAATGGGAACCCTGAAGGCTTTCATTATTAGATCTTTTGTCTAATAATAATAAAAAGCTACCAGATAGAAGCCCCTAAGATGAGCCAGATGCTGTCCTCAGGTGCTTTACCCAATTCATCTCTAACCCTCTCCACAACCACCAAGGGACGCCATATCATCCTGCTTTTACAGACCTAGAGACCCAGACTTAAGGAAGCTCAACATTTGCCCAAGGTCACATAGCTAGAGGAGGCCAAGCTATGGCCACCTCAAAACCCACATTCTTGGGTACCTGGGTGCCTCAGTTGGTTAAATATTTGACTCCTGATTTGGGCTCAGGTTATAATCTCAGGGTTGTGAGATCATCTCCACACTGGGCATGGAGCCTGCTTAAGACTCTCTCTCTCCCTCTCCCTCTACCCACCCCTTCCCTCTCTTAAACACACACACACATTCTTATATCTGCCATAGTCCTTTTCTTTGCTCCATTTCTCTCTCTCTCTCTTTTTTAGGATTTATTTATTTATTTATTTGAGAGAAAGAACACAAGCAGGGAGGAGGGACAGAGAGAGAGGGAGAAGCAGACCCCCAATGAGCAGGGAGCCCAACATGGGGCTCGATCCCAGGACCCCAGGATCATGACCTGAGCCAAAGGCAGAGGCTTAACCGAATGAGCCACCCAGGCACCCCCCCCCCATTTCTCTCTCAATGATCATAGTATTTACAAGCTCAGAGAAAAATGAAATTTGGTTGATCAAAAGCATTGCTGGGCCTATGAAGCTCTCTGATTTTGTTCAGTCTTTATATTTATTATGAAAAATTTCAAATATATACAAAATAAAGATGAATACAATGAAACCCCATCTAATAGCTTCCAGCTTCCACGATGATCTTATGTCCAGTCTTGACTCAGCCTTACCCCCTGACTACCCATGGCACCCCACTGAAAGAAATCCAGACATTGTATCATTCCATATTTCAATATGCATCTCCAAAAGATAAGAGCCTACATCTGGCTGGAAGTTTTAAAGGCATACAAAACCCCCTGGCGGCCTTAACTTCCTTGTACCCACAGTATTTGATTTCCCAAACACACTGCACTGGGAGGCAGCTATAATCTATTCATCAGAACCCAGATCCAAGAGTCAAATATGAGGAGGACATAGCCTTTTCCATCTATCAGCTGAATTATAACAATAAAGTCTCAGCTTTTGATCTTAACATTCTCAAAGCATTTACCAGAAGCATTTGACTCTCCGTCCTTGAAATTCTCTAGACAAAATTCCGGGCCCCCTTGATCTCAAGCCTTTGATTCCTTCTTCCATCAATCCATCCATTTATTCACTTATACAGAAACTTTTAACTGTGTGTGTTAGGTACCGTGCCAGGCACTGTCTTGCTAAGATGAATACATGCCAAGGTTCCTGCCTTCAGAGAGTTCCCACAAAGGCTTCAACTTGTACCCAAAAGCCTTGACACTTCAACCAAGCTAAGTTCTAAATCTAGCTAGACACCTGCCTTCACCTGAGCCTAAGGCCCGCCCTCCCACAACCTCCCATACCTGCTCTCCCTCCCAAAGTGCCTGTTCTAGAGTCTTCACAGACTGCTAGTTATGGGGAAAAGAGGACTGCATTCAGAACTGGAAGACCTGACTGTGTGCCTTGAAGCTCCCACGCGGTTGGGGAAATTATTCTGCCGTCTACTTCACAAAGACAACATAAGGATTAAAAGAGAGAACAGATATGACAGTGGGGTGTAAAATGGAAAGCTCTGCACAACTTCTCAAAGTATCATCATTATTGTTGATATTCTCAGCTTCCTCCTAAACCCCTGAGTAACTTTGATATATTCCTCTTTTGAAATCTAGAATCGATGAGCTAGAAAGAACTTTAGAGACTGTCTTCAACGCCGTCATGCTTCCTGAGGATGAAAATGGGCACCGAAGAATGAGTAGCCAAAGGCAGAGGTCACAGGTTGGCAGGTCAGGGGCCATGTTTAGAGAGTTCTGTTTGACCCACATGATACTGACCCACTCAATACTTTACACTTCCATTTTGAATCAGAAGACTGTATAAAAACCTGGATTTCCAACTTCTCTTGACAGAAAGATCAAGCAACACCAAATGTACATTCTTGCAAGGCAACAATGCGTGGAACTGAGAAGCAGCTGTCCCCCTGCACAGGGCTTGAGGCATCATTTGCCCAAGACCTCACTGCGCCCTACTATTCCTCCACCATGCCCTGAGATCAGCTACCACTTACTCATTCCTGGCTCATCCACTCCTTTTCCCTACATGCCTCACCTTGAGACTTAAGTTAGCAACCTCCAGCTTGCAGCCACACACTTGAGGGGAACGTCCCTCAATGTCTATATGAAATGAGAGCCACGCCTCACTAATTCCCTTTTTAAAAAGTCTCACAGCAGCCAATCCCAAACAAAAATCTCAGCAGACCTTTTTATAGAAACTGACAACATAATCCTAAAATTTACAGATCTGCAAAAGACTAACCTACAACAGTCAAAGCAATTTTTAAAAAGAGCAAAGTTGGGGTGCCTGGGTGGCTCAGTTGTTAAGTGTCTGCCTTCGGCTCAGGTCATAACCCCAGGGTCTTGGGATCAAGCCCCGCACTGGGCTCCCTGCTCAGCAGGAAGCCTGCTTCTCCTTCTCCCACTCCCCCTGCTTGTGTTCCCTGTGTCTCCGTCAAATAAATAAAATCTTTAAAAATAAATAAATAAAATAAAATAAAAGGAGCAAAGTTGGAAGGCTGTTACCTTGTTTCCAGACTTACTATAAAGCTACAGTAATTCAAGCATGTGCTACTGTCGGAGAGATGTACAGATCAATAGAACAGAAGAGAGAGTCCAAAAACGGACCCACACAATATCTGGCCAATTGATTTTTGACAAAAGTACCATAGCAATTCAATGAGGAAAGTGTTTTCAACAGATGCTGCTGGTATAAGTAGATATATCTTGGGGGGTGGAGGGGGATAAAGGCAGTGGAGCACACAGACATTCAGTGGTATAGCCATATTCAAACTCCAGCTCTGCTACTCATCAGCCATGCAACCATACCTCTCAAGCGTCAGTTTGCTCATCTGCAAAATGAAGAATAACCTAGCTACACATTCCCTAGGGTCACTGTGAAAACCACAGGAGATAATGAATGTAAAGAGTCAGCACAGCATCTGGCAAAGAGATAACACTCAATATTTAGCCCAAATCCAGGATGTCTAGTCTTTTCTCCTCTCTCTCTCTCTTAAGACTTTATTTATTTGTCAGAGAGCGAGAGAGAGCACACAAGCAGGGGGAGGGGCAGAGGGAGAAGCAGGCTCCCCGCTGAGCAGGGAGCCCGATGCGGGGCTCGATCCCAGGACCCTGGGATCATGACATGAGCCGAAGGCAGACGCTTAACCATCTGAGCCACCCAGGTGCCCCTGCAGAAAAGCTATTCTTAAGGTTTGGGTACAGTTGGGCTTTGAATTGTCAGTTTGTGTTTTATAAACATAATCGCCACAAAAGGAGGTGCTATGACCCGCTATGCGTCCAGGTAAGTGGGTGGCTCAGTTAGTTGAGCGGCTCCCTTCGGCT